ACTTAAATGTTCACGTGCGTATGCAATACGTCTCCCGTACGTGTGGCTTGAGGGTTTACGGATGTTCACATGGCAAGAAAATGGAATGAGAAAGTCAATGTTTACATTCCAGTCCACACGATTTACGAAACCTCAAAATTGCTCAACTTTACAAGAAAATATACCTTTATACAGCCATCTACAAACATTTTTTGGGGGTGAGATAGTGGGGCAGAGAGCCCTACCTTTGTTAGGAGTTGAGCTTAAGATTTAGCATTGCAAGTCGAAATATATACCTATACATTGCCATCCGATATTTTTTTTTAGGTGAGATAGTGGGGAGAGAGCCCTACCTTTGTAGAAATTGAGCCTAGGACTTAACATTGCAAATCGTTAACCATAAGCACACGCTTTTTTCTTATAACAATCTACATTAAGTAATCAATTTTACATATTTTTTTATAGGATTCATCATCATCATCAAGTTTTATCTTAATTATTTAAGATCGGCTACACTAATCTTGTTTCGCCATTTTGTTCTATCAAGAATACTTTCAGTAAGATCACAAGTATCTACTACTTTCATCCATGTCTTTTTTGACCTTCCCCTTGTCCTTTTAGAGCATTGCACTTGAACCAAATTGCACCTCATGTCCAATACTGTATTAGGTTTACGCTATACATAGCCACCCGTCTAAAACTACTTTCCCTCATATTATTGTATGTTAAGACCATCAAACTTTTCATTTAAATTTTATTTGAAAACACTTGCCACTAAAAATCCTGCATTTTCTGTTTCATCTCTCTCTTTGATTTTATTTATAATTTGGGCAATAATCATGACAAAGGTGCTTTTTTCCAAAGGGAAGCATGTGACCCAACTTTTTGCAAAGCACTGAATTGTTATTGGTGAAAAGAAACATTAAGTTTGGAGTTTTACTTGATGTCATAGTGGTTGGGAGTTCTTAGTCTCACACTCCCGGCCATGGGCTTCATGTATAGCTCAATTAAATATTCAAATTAAAAATGAATAGTTGGTTTAAAACAAGGACGTAGTAACACACTACTCACTTGGGAGTACATGTCTGGTGCCACCCTGCTCTTCCAAATACATCACTCATTTCTCTTTTTTTAGGAGTTTTCTTTTATTTATTTATGTATATCAGTTGAAAAGAGTCAATTTTTTGAAAATGTTAATAAAAATGAAAAAAATGTTAATAAGAGTGGAGGCCGTGACCTTTAATCGAAGCTCGGGTGGTACCAACACCATAATCATTACCTCATCCATTTACAAAGAGTCGCATAATTGAAGCTCAGGTAGTACTAACACCATAACCCAAGCTCATTCTCCATTTACAAGCCCCCGTCCTCCCTCCCCATCTCTCTCTATATAATTTCTGTTATTGCTCACGTATAACATATAATAGTAAAACCACACCCTCCCACCCCTCTCTATGTATATGTGAATTTTGCATATAATTATTGGTGTATGAGATTTCATGGAGAAAGTTTGCTTTATATAAATGAAGTAGGAGTAGGATTTGGAGAAATAAAGTTAACACCTACCATTTAATGGACATAAATGGGGCACCTTTTAAGTTTTTTAATTTATAGAATTATTTTTATGGTACGGTTTCTATAAGGATGCAATCTTAAACAATCTAATTTAGGCGCACTTTAAAATTTTATCATAATATGTAAATAAAACTCTTTGTGTTATCTTAAATCTATTTTCATACTTAATTAGAAAATTTTAAATTCTAAAAACAGTTAAAATCAAGTAGATCTATAAATATATGAAAATATTGAAAATGAACGGTCACGATAATGTGTTGCAAGATGCACTATTTTCGGGACTCAAAAAAGTTTTTTTTTTCATATTCATTTATTTCAATGTCGAGATGATCGATTAGAGGGTTTTTTCGACGTTAAAACAACATTTTCGATAGATTTTTGAGGTGCATATGTGATTCTACATTTTAAGGTTGCAACCTTATATAAATTTTTCCCTTACTTTTATTTGTAGGAATTCACCTCTAAATTAATTTTATTTGTAGGAATTCACCTCTAAAGTACTTTTATTTGGAGGAAATCAGAAGCTGTGGAATTCAGGAAAGTATAATTCTCCTATCTACTTTTCAATTTTCGTTTTTTTTAAAGCAATTTTTTTTTTTGTCTTTCTTCGTTCTTTTGTATAAGAGAACACCCCTTATTTTCCATGTATAAAGAACACAACAAATGTGGGTGCCCCCTCATGGTTATTAACTTCCCTTCCTTTGTCACATTAGACTTAAGCTGTAGATTGAGCTCTTATACTTAACTGCACATTGAGCTTTCAGATCTCTCTCTCTCTCTCTCTAAAAACCTTGAGTGGGTTTCTCTATCTTTCTCTCTCTAAAAAGCTTGAGTGGGTCAGGTATTGAAGGAGAGAGAACAGAGCTCCCCGGCTTGCCTGGTTCTACTGATTATGACACAGAAACCCTCCTTTCATTCCTTGGCCCATTTGGCAAAAACCCATCTCCATTTGCTTCACCTTCACTCTTTCTCACTCCTCCTTTTCCATACTCTCTTCTCTCTTTTATTCTTGTTCTACATTTCCTTTCTCCTAAACCTTGAATGTGGGTTTTTCTTTGTAGGCCTTGTTTTGTTTTTCCTCTTCCCCTTTGTGCGTAGTTGCAGTGGAATCAACCATGAAAGCTCTGCATTTCGTGCTCAGTTGCAGTGGAATCAGCCATGAAAGCTTCACAACGAAAGCTCTTGGATTGGTTTTTTAGGGGAAATGTGATTGCGTTCTTATGATGGTGGCTGCCATTTCTGCCACAGTTTCTCAGGAAACCCCGAAACCCCCCTTGGGACCTTCAGAGAAGGAGAGCAATGGCGCTCAAAGGAGGCCTAAGGCAAAGGAAGTCACCTCAAGATACAGGTCTACAACCCCATCTTCTTCGTCGTCGTCTCTCTCTTCTTCTTCAATCTCTTCATCTCCCAGAAGGTGCCCATCGCCAAATATCGCTCGCTCTCCTAATCCTTCAACCGATACTTTTTCTCTCCCAAAACGTGCAATTTCAGCAGAGAGGCGAAGGCCTTCTACTCCTTCTTCTCATACCCGAGCCATTAATGGTGGCTCCGAAACTTTGGTTTCATCTTCAAAGCACCTACTGGGGAGAGCTCCAGAGGTTCTATGGCCTTCCACCCGAACTCTTTCTGTTTCTTTTCAAGGTGAGTCTTTCTCTCTTCACATAAACAAGCGAGAGCGAGCGGTAAATCGTGGTGGCTATGATGGTTTGAAGCCCTCTTCAACGCAAAGGATTGAGCGCAAGGCCACACCAGAGAGGAAATGCACGCCTCTACGAGGGAAAACCAGTGACCAGTCTGAGAATTCGAAGCCATTTGACAACCCCCATTCTAGGGTTTCGGCGAGTGCCTTGACCAGGAGCATCAACTGTACCGAGAAACCCACTCGAGCTGCTTCGATTCTCCTTCAAGGTCGGCCCTCCATTGATGGGTTGGGAAGAGCTTTTCAGAGATCCATCAATGAAGGGCCGGCTTCGCGTAGAATTTCACTGGATAGTAGGCTCCAATCTGAAGCGGGTTCTGATAAAAATGAAGATTTGAACAGACCTGAATCAAAACCATGGCTGGATCTTGACAGAACAGATTCAGATTCAAGCTCGCTCTTATGTGATCGAGCCTCTGATACTGAGAGTGTTTCATCAGGGAGTAATTCAGGGGTGCATGAAAGCATTGGTATTTCTAAGGGGAGATCGACACCAAGAGGAATAGCAGTCCCTGCAAGGTTTTTGCAGGAAACAAACAATCGTATAAGGCGAACAAATAGCTTGGGCTCTTCTTTTCAAGAACCCACTTCACCATTGGATCACCAATCGAAAAGGAGGGACCCCAATTCACCGTTAGCTGGTTCTCGAGCTCTAGGATACCAACCCCCAAGGCTTGTTTCTTCAAGGAAAGGCATTTTAGTCAATTCATCAGATAGCCCTTCCTCTTCTCCACGAACAATTAACCGGGCCCTAGCATCGCCAATGCGTGGGCCCCACCATCCGGTTTCTCCTAGTAAGCTCTCAGGAGCTTCACCTTCGCCGTCGAGAGGAATTAGTCCTTTGAGGTCGAGGGGTGCTACGCCAATGCACTTCTCATTGGGTAGCTCAGTTAGTAGTTGCTCGAGTAGCTCGTCTTCGATACTTAACTTTTTCGCAGATGTGAGGAAAGGGAAGAAGGGGGCCAACCAGATTGAAGATGCCCATCTCTTGAGGTTGTTTTATAACAGGCACTTGCAATGGCGGTTCGTCAATGCGAGGGCAGAGGCTGCTTTGTCCACACAGACAGTCTTGGCAGAGGTAGGTCTACTGATTTTGGATAATTGAATTGGTTGTTATTATTATTCAATATTCATCAGATTGAGATGACTTTAAATAGTTGTTTTTGTGGGGTGACATTGAGTTGTTATAAGTTTCTTCATTAAAC